CGGTAGCACTATAGTCATTTATCGTTTAAAGACCATGTTTTTTAAAAGCTGTTTGGTATCATTTTAATTTTTTATTAAATTGTTCAACAGCGTCTTAATTTAAAAAAATAAATAAATAAAAATTGTATTTGAATTAAAAAAGTGTTCTGGAAATACCAAGAATCCCTCTTCCCTTTCTATTTCACACGGCCAAAAATTCAGATATTAAAAGTTCAAATCCTGTTAAGAGAACCCTTAATTGTTTCTTAATAAAAATGGTTAATTAGATATTCTTTTTGCAATATATAAATATCATATAAACATACTATCCTTTGAATGTGATATGAATGATTGCAATACATGCAGGTTTTCTATCCAAGTATATGATTAAACGCAAAAAGTTGCAAATATTCTTTTATGTGTTCAATCATTAAACCAATCGATTTCACGCAAAATATAAACCAAACGAGTACATCATAAAGTGTAAGGCTGTAAGCCACGAACAAGATGTCAAGATATGAAGATGCCTATGATATTTTTTTTACAACTGACATGAAACTCGTTTTTGACTGTTCACTTACTCTCGTACACAGATGTCTCGAATAATCGTAGGGATTTATTTTTTCACATATAACTCTCTTGTGATAACGAGCGTTTTTCCTCATGTTAGTACATTTGTGAGCAAATATAATTGGATGGCAGGTAAGAATTTTATATGAAAATAGTAATTGTTAATTACAAAAGGAGTTTTATATAGAAAAATCTCATTATTTTGGGAAAATTTTTAATATAGTCCAAAAACTTTTTTTTATTATTATTTTTTTTAACAGAAAGTCCAAATTATTTAACGTTTTGCCAAAAGTAACCAAAATATATTTTTTTTATATTTTAACAGAAATAACAAATTATGTGATTTTTATAAAATAATAGAACTTTTTTATTCAAAAAAAGTTTTTAGAACTTTATCAAAAAAAATTCATAAATAATAGGATTTTTCTATAGTACATTTTACATGGGTGTATCTTTGTGTGTGTTTGTGTGACTGTGGGGGGAGGGGTATTTAATGATATTACCTTATTACCTTATTACAAGTTTCACACTACTTTAAACTTTTTTTTTTTAAATAAAAGCGCTTATGGCCGTGATAAACCGTTAATAAGTTAATCCTTCTAACTTATTAACTTATAAGCTATGAGATAATAAGCAATAATTTTTTTTGCCAAACACCTCTTAATATATTTTTTTTTACTTAGACATTATACACTTTGTTTTTGTAGAAAAACCACTGCGAATTAGATATAGTCTAGTCCTTCAAAAGTCCAAAAGAACTCACTAACCACACCAAAAAGGCCAATGTGATGTGTATTATGTTGATATCATTATAATTATTTATAACACAAAATCGATTTTAGTAAGTAAATAATGATTTAAACATTTATCACCAAATTATTATCTATTTTGTAAAATAGATCTTTGCATAGTTAATTTTTTTGTGGAATTTCGGAAAGATGATGTAATTTGGCAAAGGAATGAAATCAGTTTGCAAGGTAGAAAATTAATTTCTAAACCAAATAAAATATTTTATACATCAATAACACAGACCCTTGAATTTTTATTAGGATGATTTAGAAGGTAGATATCAGCTAATCATGTCTCCACTATTAAAAAGCAATTGCTTCACAAGAAATCAAAGATGATCTTCTACAGATAAAACATTCTATAAAAAGGCAATACAAAAAACAATTATGTAAAATTTATATATAAAATTATGGTTATTTTGTAATATATGTTCAAGACTATACTTCGGTCAATTAATTGTTTATATAAGCATTCTTACGAGAACGATTATAATATTTTTTTAAACGGTAACACACACAACTTTTTATTTTTCTTGACTAGATACTGCTGAGATATAAGCATTTTAGTAATAAAAATAAATCTACCTGAAAATCCACAATATTAACAAAACAAGGATGGTAATAACGTTTGGTAAAAATTAGTTAATTTAGATTATAATTATAAAATAGCATAAAAAACATTTAAATATAATTAAAAACAAACTAACATCAAACTGTACGAACAAACGATTTTAAATGTCTATAATGTACCAATTTATACATTTTATTACATAAAGACCAACAATGAAAGTGGCCCCAAATGATCTCTTACTTTGTTTTTATAACTTTTTTTAAATTACATTTTTACGATTTTTGCCAAACTTAATTTGCACGGTTGTTTTTACAAGGTTTTATACACCTAAGTTATTTTAATAAATTTGTAAAAGTGAATATGTAAAAAAAAGTTTTCAAGTTTTATAGAACCTTACATGCAAGAATATATATATATATATATATATATATATATATATATATATATATATATATATATATAGTAAAAACAAATATGTTTAGTGGACATTGGGAAAAGGTTGTAAAAAGTTATAAAATTAGTTCATCAAAAATACGTAGAAAAGTTGTCAGCAAAAATATTTGTAAAAAATTATAGCAAAACCAATTATATAGATAATAATTTAAAAAGTTATTTCTAATAGTTTTTGAGCTATATGGTTTTTATTTGAAATAAAGACACTTTAAGTTCGTACTTAAAAACAATTTTTTTAATTCAAATTTGCTATTAAAGTCTAAGATATAAAACTTTCAAAAGCTTGTGATCAAACATATTCTTATCTCAACAATTTCTCAATCATCTGAACACACTTGATCTGCCATGTTTTTATTTACTTTTTGCATTAAAACAAAACTAGTAAAACGTTAAACAAGTTACAACATACAAACAAGAGAAACATGAGAATTACTCCAGTGAAACAAATTTAAAAAACTAAACATCCCTCTATATTTCAACCAGTTGAAAGAGATTAACTGGATATCATCGGCTGTCTGTTCCTGAAACTTTTGAAAATTAAAGTGTTCCTAATCTTCCATATGTTCTATAAAACTGAATATATGAGGGCCCATAGGTAATTTACTTAATAGTAAAACTAAAACATTTGTATTGAAATAGGTAATTTTAATTCTTCAATTTATGTTAAAAAGTGTATCTTTTCAATAAATTTCTTAACTCCTATATATATATATATATATATATATATATATATATATATATATATATATATATATATATATATATATATATATATATATATATATATAAAGAGGGCAAAGTGTTAAAGTGACTTTATGGAAGTTTGAATGGGGAAGGGCAAATGGAGGAATACTGACCCATTCATTCAGACATGGAAATGGACAAGAATGGAGTCAAAATGCCTTCAATTCAATGCTCTCTCAAAAACTGACACTGCCTCTCGTGCTCTCTCGATAACTGCAATTTCTTTTCTTTTTCTTTTTCTTTATTATTTTTTCTTTTTTAAGGAATTTGTTTAAATAAAAATATTGAAAAAGAAATGATATATGATACCAAAACCACAACCTAGCAACCTACCTTTCTAGTTTCTACAATAATGAGAATGCATTTATGATTTATTTACTTAGGAGTTTTTTGACTTAAATTATTTTTTATCTCTAACTAATAGGTAAAATAATACAAAAATATTAAGGCTAAAAACAAATGAAACAAATTCAATGTTTTTTTTATGGAATTATAAATGATTAGATACAGAGTGGTGATAACTGATACGTTTGGTTTTTTTTTTTAATCAAAGCAAGTAAGTGGAAGCTACCAAGATAAATTTGACACTTCATTCACTGGGTCTATTGGGTTTTATGATAATTAACTTGATATATATCCCTTATTTTAATAAATAAGTAGAATTTGTATACGTTGCAGTTAAATAGCTACCCCCAATGGATTTTTTCCACTCTTTCTGGTAATGTTAATTTCCGATATTACCCTTCAAGTAACCAATCGATTCCTAAAATTCTCGACGTCAATTTAAATTCTTCCTGCAACATTAAAAAAATGGAAAGTAAATAATCATTATTTAATTTCAAATATCTTTCAAATATATAATGCTTATCAATTCCTAAAAACCCGTAATTTACCTAATGGATTTATCTTAAATACATTGTCACGGTTATTTTCATTCATAGCGATTCCAAGATTCAAAGAAAAAGAAAAATTTCAAGAATATCTTCAAGTCGCCTTCTTTTATTACTTTAAGGTATGCTATTAAAATTTTTGTTATGATTATTCATTGTGTTTTTCTTGAAGTCGCTTTCTATCTTTTTATATCTCAATGTATTTGTCACTGTTATCAATTCGTTTGTGTATCTGTTACCTTGTGTGTATATGTATATGTATCTGCTTCATTCTTATCATTATTCACACTGTTGGTAACACGATGAAATCGCTAACTTCAACTAGATCTATGTACAAATAAAAGTCGATATACAAAAATGGTCACCAATAATAATTTGCAGTCATGCTACGATTTCACTGAATGTATCTGAATGAATTACTCACTGTTACTATATGTATATATTTTCAATAGCAATATAATAAATTCTTTATAGTTACTCTTTATGTCATGCTATGATTTTCACTGAATGTATCTAAATTGTTTGGGTATGCTTTGTTCACTGTGACTGCTTAATAAATGTATTATTCACTGTGACTATCTGAATGTATTACTCACTGTTACTGTTACTGTATGTTTATATTTTCAATAGCAATATAATAAATTGTTTATAGTTACTCTTTATGTCATGCTACGATTTTCACTAAATGTATCTAAATTGTTTGGGTATGCTTTGTTCACTGTGACTGCTTAATGAATGTATTATTCACTGTGATTATCTGAATGTATTACTCACTATTACTATATGTTTATATTTTCAATAGCAATATAATAATTGTTTATAGTTACTCTTTATGTCAATGGTTTAAACATTGTATATGTCCTCATCTATCTGTTTAGGTATGCTTTGTTCACTGTGACTGCTTAATTGTTTATTTTCTTGACTGCTTAACTACTTAACTGCTTAATTGTGAATGTAGCACCTCAAAAATAAAAATAAAAATGATCATTTTGCCCATGGTCATACATAACTGATATTATTTTTAATATGCTATGAATTGTTTGCAGGAAATGAATATCGGCAATAAAATATACCTAAAAGACATTGAACATATCGCTGATGATTCACATATCAAACTACGGGTGTTAAAGATTTGGAATTTTATAAAAAATAACCAGGTTTTATCGACTGAAATGATCATCATGAACGAGGAGGTTAGTTAACTTTTTTTAAACCCACTAAATATTTCATATGTTTCAATGAATAATTTTTTTATTTGTTTTATTAGGGTACAAAATACCAATCTCGTGTTTTCAGTCAAATTTTTTTCAGATTTCGTGACCTTTTAAAGGAAGGTGAAAGTTATATCATTTTAAAACCAAACATAACGGTTGTTAAAAATGGTTTCAGTGTTACCGGAAAGAAACAGACCTTAACTTTGGATTGTAAAAGTATTATAAAAAAATGTGATGATTTTTCGGGTCCAATTAATGGTTTTGTGTTTGCAGATTTTAACTTTATCATCAAACAAAAATGCCCAAGAGACTCATTCTTTGGTAGAGAAGCAAAAAGGTTGTTGGATATAAGTGCATTTGAGTTGAAAAAAATACATGAAGCGGTATAATATTTTATTCATATTTTTCTATCGAATAACATTTTATTTGTTTTAATATATTAAACAATCTTCTTACAGGCTGGCGACAGTTTGCACCTATTTCCAAATCAAATGAACGTCTTGAAAAACCGGAAATTTGCCTTTCTTGTAGATAGTACACCCTACAATGTTACCAACTATAACATCTACATCACTGTCAAACTTACAGAAGATGTCTCCATTGTTTCCGAATTAGAAAGTAAACTAGAACTTATGGTACATAATGTTTTAATGTGAAACATTTATATTTGTTTTTTATTTTCATACATAACGTTTTACATATTTCAATTTTATTTTCTAGAGTGTTCAATCAGTCTTCTTAAATGAAGTATCACTGCAATCAGATGATGTTGTTCAGAATGTTGAAAATGTATTTTATATTACAACATTAATTTTTATTTATATTTAAATATTCCAATTGTCAACTTTTTTTTTTTTTATTTTTTTTTTTTTATTTTTTTTTTTTTTAATTTAGGATGTGATATCACAAACGGATGAGAGTTTTACTCCCTCAACAGTTGATAAATCATCCGCAACAAGTCCAATGAAAATATCAGGTGGTTTGAAGCGCGACCTACATGACATTTATGATGGTGGTGGATTTGATTTCAGTTCAACAAAATCTAAAAGAAAATCAATGGGAGAGGGAAATTCACTTTTAGTTCCAAAAGTGGAAAAGTGAGTTTTTTTTTATTTTTTATTTTTTATTTTTTATTTTTTATTATTATTATTTTTTTTAACAAACAAATAAATTTGGTTCATGCAGATTAAGTTTAAATAATGTTTGGTGATTTGGTACAATGGTTGTTGGAAATTTAGGTATTTATTGGACAAATTTTAAGATTATGGTTCATTTTAATTTTTTTCATTTCGGTTGATTTACCTATTGGATTGGTTTTGATATAAACATTATTTTTATCTAGATGTTATATTTAATTAAAACGTACATCAATTTTTTTCGGTACAACATTCGTTTTTTCACTCATTCGTTATCACATAAACCACCCACACTATTATTATACACAACCTTAGTTTATTAAATAAAATCTGATGTATTATTGTACAGAAACATAGTTTATTAAATAAAATCTTATTCATTATTTGAAAGTCAAAATAAATCAACTTGACCATGAAGGTCAGAGAAGAAATCTAGCAGCAAAAGCATAAAAATAGTCAATTCCATAAGAGATTTGTTTGTATTTTCTGTTGTAAATAAATATCTAATATTTGGCATAATAGTAGCCAAAAAATGTATTCCATTATTATGTGTTTATAAATGTAAACGTCTTTATAGCTTCCACTATGATTATGGATGTTTAAATGTTTTCTATCAAACCATTTCTATTTTCTAATAACATAATCAAGTAGAAATCATTATCTGCTGATGAATGGTTTTTAAGGATTAATCAATTAATTCATTTAGATCATAGGATCATATCCATTATAACATTATGCACAAACTTCTAACAATATTAATTTCCCTAAAAAACTTGGGATATAAAACCAATTAAAGCTAAATACATAAAAGGGGAAAAGGGTACCTACAAATCCTTTCAATTATCTCACCCTTCTTGATATGTTGTTCAAGCAATTCAGCCATATCATCTAGGGTAACATAACCATACCTTACACAACAAAAACACAAGAAAGTATTCATAAGAAAAATGATTTAATACATTATTTGGCAAGTAAATGTTATAGACTCTGCTTCAAATAGAAAAATAAGCATAAATAAATGGTTATGGATTGTCTTACCAATGTCGAGACACTTTTCAATCTTCAACTGAACTATTCATTATCAAGTTCTCTACATACTTATGTCCTCCAACATGTGAGCAAGCAATCGCAAACACCTGCTCCTTCAACGCCCTAACACCTGGATAATAAAATATATTTTTAGTTTATTTATTAAATATAAATTTTAATTAAGTACTAAAGACAACATGTCTGCAAAAAAGATGCAATTACGTCCATTAAAGTCCCAGATTGATTTTGAGTCACGAACGTCATATGTTTTCCATTTAAAAATCAATCTCTGCATTCAAAAATCAATAAATCATGAATTTTCATATCTTGATTTCTAAGTCAAATATATCAATATAATAGATACTCTATAAATTTCGTCCATGTAACTGATTGTTTCATAATTTTATGTAATCCCTTATTAAATGCAAATCATATATTAAAATTAAATTGATTTCTAATGTACTAAATCCAATAAAATCAGCAACACATTATTATCCAATACAATTTCAACAACAATACATCCATAAAATCTGGGATTATATTTTAAAAAATATTAAAAGAATTATTTTATATCTATAAATATACCTCAGAACGTGAAAAGATAATTTTTAATTTCTCATTTGTCTTCTTTGTCTTTCAATTGCATCTAAGATTGTTCTTTCGGCAAAGTTACAACAAGATGCTCCATACAAGTTCTATTCCACATTTCAATTCACACGTCAACTACTTTTAATTTAAAAGTCTCTTAATTCTTGCAAGATTTTCATATTCACATCAGGTTAGTGTTTTGAAATTAAATTACATTGGTTTCTGTATGTATGTTGAGATTACACTACAACGTTTTTTAATCTTTTCATCTCTAACAATATCTACAAATCCTCAACCAAAATGTTTTACGTGTTGTGAAACAGATGTTAAAACTATAAATTAACCAAAATATCAATTACATTTCAACAGACATTGATTCTTGCTAAATATAAGAAAATTGCTCGATCAAATACACCTTAGATGCTACAAAGATGAAACAATTACCTTATGTAACATACACGTTCTGAAATTGTGTATTGTTATTATTAAAAGTGAATAAAATTGAGTGTTGAGTTCTAACAACTAGTTTTTACTAGAAATGAAGTAAAACTATGTTTAGAATCACTCATAAAATATTGGAAGTCTTATAAGATTCCAATTAATAGCCAAATAGTAAAATTTAGTGAAAATATAAAATTTGAAATAAGTAAAATTTTATTACTAGATGTTGTAAATTATCTCGTTAGAAACTTGTAGGCGAAAACCTCATCGAAATCCGAGTTACAACGAAGAAGTTATGACCAACCAAAGATCCGCGACAAAACCGATACGCTGCCGAATGACGTAAAAAGTGAGTTTTTGATAAACTACTTTTTAGCCTTAGTAATCTAAATTAAAGTCGTAGTATTTGTTAAACCGAGAAATTCGATAAAAAGAACGCCAAAATCTGACTTCGTATGAGGAAGTTATGATTTTTCGAAGTTTCAACTTAGTAGTAGACAGTTAAAAACTCGAATTTTAGATCGAGCGATATTTTACCGATACATCCTAAACGAGAATCTAAGGTCTCGTCATTTGTAGTACAACGGTAAAAAGTCTGACGAAAACGGATGTCGGATGAAGAAGTTATGAAATTTTAACGTATTTTCCTGTTCCGGTCTGTTAAAAGTAATAATATTAAAAATAAAGTCAAAATTAGCCAACGAAGTCTAAACGAAAGTTGTAGAGCGTAATTTTAGCTACGTGTGCACATAAATAACGTCAAAAACGGAGCTCGTATACGAAAGTTATGGATTTTAGAAGTTCGGGGCTCGAAATCCGAGAATTTCGCATGAACAGTACAGCCACCGGAGACCCTCGCCGCTGCCACGTCACTTCGCACGAAGCAGCAGCGTCACCAGAGACGTGGCCGATACGAGAAGCATCGTGTGTCGCAAGCTGAGTTGACCAATGTGTGAGCCAATCCGGATCCGAAGCGTGCTTACCTGCAAGCCGAGCCACCGAGCTGCTTCGCTGCTTGCTTCCCCCCCAAACCAACTTCGGCCTCAGCCCTATATATAGGGGGCTGCGAACCTTGCCGACTAACTTTTAAAAATTGCCATTTTTGGCCCCTTTTTCCATATTTTCTTTATTTTGACTTTTCCCGAAGCCCCGGTATCAGTTTTAGCACCCAAAACACGTCCCGAGACCCCCGAGAAGCCGAAAATTTTATCTTTTCGGTTTTGAAGCCCTACCTTCGTAGAGCCCGGTTTTCAATTAAGCTCCCGGTTTTCAACATAGAAAGTCATATTAAAGCCAAAATCCTGTCCAAATTACTATTTTAACCCCGGTTAACTTAAGGTGAGTTCAATATATAGGAACAATTGTATGTTATGTGTTATATGTGCTATATGCTTCTCAATGTTATTATTCTGAGTTATTCTCCCGTGTTATTTTATTCGCTATGTTTATAGCAATTATAATACCTTTGACCATGTGATTAGTGAAAGGACTTAGATTCACATTGGTATTGGTACGTAGCCCCTGGCCATGTAGAGCATGTCTCCGTAAGAGAATGACTTCTATTCTATGACATTGGCATAAGGTTTGATAGGAATGATATGTAGCCTCTGACCATGTAGAGCATGACTCCGTAAGAGAATGAACTCTATTTTGTGGTATTGGCAAATGGTTAGATAGGGCTATAAGCCTGAAATCTACCAAAATATTAATCATAAATTATATGTTTTCTGTGCCAAAGCTTTATTGATGCATATCAAGTATTGAAATCGTTATGTCTCATTGAAAAGTATATCTTTGAATAAAGTCTTTGATTGATATGAACGTTTGTCACATGATTTCACATATGTCTTCTTGTTCCCTTCTGCTTCTGTTATATTGGTATATGTAAGGCATAAGATTATACTGTATCTATTTATTGAATTCACTAAGCGTTATCGCTTATTCCTCTCAATATTTAACAATTGCAGGTGATGAGTATTCCAATATAGTTTTATACTGCTGAAAGATTTAGAATTGTTAATACTATTTCTCTGTATTTTAAATGTTCATGTATGTATATGAATAGTAGATTCCTGGACATGAAATGTAATAAAACTTAGTCGGTTTGTATCCAATATTTTGTAATCACTTCATCAATATAAAATATTGTTTTATAAATATGCATGTAGCATGTTTTGAGGAAGTAACTTAAGAAATCTTTTGAAATAGTATGAAAGTTTGGGTCTTTCATAAATACGAAAGTTGGGGTCTTTCAATCATGGCATCAGAGCAATGGTTTAAGTGAACTAAATATCACGGATTGGTATTTAGACTTAAATTGTTGGAAGCTCAATATATGAGTTGATTCATAACAAGTATATGGATACAAACCATAGAAAATATTTAAGTGGGGGATTGGGTAGTGATAAACCCTAGTATTCTAAGATATTAAGTTACTTCAGAATTTAAAAAAAATTAGTTTAAGTGAACTAGAAATTTTAAGAATTTCTAAACTTAAACAAGAACTAGTAAGTAAAGATGATACAATATATTTTAGCTTGAATACCTAATGGAGGCAAGCACTAGAATATTAAGAGGAGATATGCCTTATATTCTATTATGTGCTAAATGATAAATTTGTATAGAGAAGAGATATGTCTTATATTTTATTATGTGCTAAATGATAAATGAATATAGAGAAGAGATATGCCTTATATTCTATTATGTGAGAAAGCTTACGGTCTGTTGCCGACCATGGTTTAGAAAATTTTAAGAATTTTCATAATAGAATTTTTCGGAGTGATAAAGAGACTTATGATAGTTGACATCAATAAGTTTATAAATAATCGATCACGAGATATCGTAAAATAATAAATTTTTATCGTAATAAATGTATAAATACCAATAGAGTGGTAATATAAATTTAAA